ACGGTCGTCGAAAGAATGGTCATCCTGGGAGACGCCTTGTCGCACGAAATCGCATCGCAGCGATCGTTATTTTCTGCGTTGCAAATTCGCATCGCATCCCAGTTTTGTGTACGAGCCCTACGATGTTTAGTGAATATTTAAAATGTAAAAGATTATCCAAAATCTAACATAGCAAGATTTATGCCAACTGTAACTACACACGTATTAACACACGATTAGAATAGAATATAATCCTCACTTCTCAGCTTTCACCAATATTAATCGCAAATAAAGTATTTATTGTATTATTTTTTTTTTTTGTAAGAATCGGTTCTAGTTATGAAGGTTCACAACACGCAGTGCAGTGCAGCCAGCGCCGGGGCCTAGTAACGTGGAGTGGCCGACTTAACACGATTGACAATTAACAACTGTTATTATTAAACTGTTGTTTCCTGCTTGTGGTTGTCGCGTGTACATGTAGCGGGGCTTGTGTGGTTTAATTTCCTTTTGGTTACAAGTGTAGTACTTGTATATCAGTATTTAACTTCTGCTTATACCAAATTGCTTAAGGGGGATTTTATTAAACTAATGTTTTTAAAAGTCTAGTTTTCTTCATGATATTTTCATAGAAAGTACAGACTGACACACGATGTACTTTTTCGTGGATAACACATAAGTCATTGTAATTTAAAAAATCTGACTTGGATTTTTTTTATTTTGTTCTTTGCCTTTTGATCATCGACTTCAGGGACACCCTGTATGACTTTAATAAGTTACATTCCTATTTTTAATTTTTTATATATGACGTTTGACCACTAAAAGTATGTAATAAGTGAGAAAGTAAGTTCATTTGTTTGTTACCTCTATAAGCTTTATGTGCTCAAAGAAACCTCTTAAAACGTTTCATATAGCTGATAATACGGAGAAGACTATATGCTATACTTTACGTAATCAAAACCGCGTAGAAGCTAGTACATGCCATCTCTGATAATGTACAGATATCGTACATTCTATTGCTATTTGCTATGACGCAGTACTGCCGAGGGAAACGATTAAGAAATCTGCAATATTAATCTCAGAACTCGGACAATTAATCTTATTCCGATAGTATCAAAATAGGCGGTTCATTAGACGTAAAGTGACGGTTGTCACTTTATAAATCTTTATCTAATTATATCTCGAGTTATAATCTTATATCGTACTATTTATTACACGTTTTTTCTATTAGTTCCTTATTGCCTCTTCCTCGTTGGCCGAGTGGTCCCAAGTCTTACTGCCGAGCAAGAGGCGTCGGATTCGATTCCCAAAGTCCAACGATTGTCGCGGAGAACCTAACAGGTTACCGGGGCTCTGGCCCAACGTGCAGAAGAAGGAACGGGGTGGTTTTTAGTCAGTAAGAGCCTGACGTCTGACACTCCCTCCCGCCTCACCCAGACGGGAGCAGTCATTCGATGATTTTCCCCCTTAAAAAAAAGGCAACGATTACTAGATTTTTCAATAAAATTTCATTAGTAGCATGGAGTTTGGAATTGTGCCCGATATGGCGATAGGCTCACCCCCTATTACATAGGACTCATAACATAAATAGTGAAAAGTGGGTGTTACATTGTACAGTGGCATTAAGCGCCATAATGTGCACATCTGCCTACCCCTTCGGGGATTATGTTATGTTATGTTCCTTAATCATTTACTTAACTAGTGTTTAATCCTTAAGGGTGATCGCTTTCAAATAATATAAAGTCATAAAAATATTATAGGAAACCCAATCTTAACGATGATTTATCAATCACAAGTTCACGTCTTCCTCGTTCACTTTCGAAAACGAAATAATCTTAGTAAAAACATCTTCAACATCGAATAGAGTTTAATAAAACTTGTTCAGTACGTAAATTAAAAAGTATCACATAAAGTCGAGTCAAGTGTTAAACTTTTCCATACATAACATACATAACAATTAACTGCCAATTACTTGGAAACATCAAAAAAACATAGTCATCTCAAAGATAAAAATACTTTTTTCTTTTTAAATCTACCAAGAAGGTAAGATCAAGGTTTACAGACTCTCAACCTTTCCGCTCTGATGGGCCAGGGTCAACGCCTTCCAATCTTTAATTAGTCGGAAGCCGAACATTACCGAATGATTACCGATGATAGCCGAAGCCTGATGAGAAATGTTACGGATTACATGCGTTAAGATTGAACTCTCGGAAACGGGTCAGTGGAAATTAACACTGGGAACGAAAATTTACCAGAGATTTTGAAATGGTGTAAATTATACTAATCTAGCATAAACAGCTACTATTATTATTTACTTTCTGACTTAGCTAATAATATTCAAATACATTAATGACTAGCTGGCCCGGCAAACTTCATACCGAGTAAAAATATTTTTCTTACATTTTAAACCTTCCCTGTACTTCCACAAACATTTCATTCATCAAGAAGAAACTTACCTAAATCGGTTCAGCCATTCTCGAGTTTTAGTGAGACTACCGAACAGAAATTCATTTTTATTTATATATACAAGCTGACCTGGCAAACTTCGTACCGCCTAAAATTTTTTTTTTCACCTTTCAAACCTTCCCTGGGCTTCCATGAACATTTCAAGACCAAAATTAGCCAAATCGTTTCAGCCGTTCTCGAGTTTTAGCGAGACTAACGAACAGCGATTCATTTTTATATATAAGATATAATATGGGCTTTCTCGTTTGTACGACAGACAGACAGTTTTATACATGTATGTATACTTATAGTCAATTTTCGGTAAGAGTTAAACGTAACTTAAACTTAAGCGAATTAGCTAAGAGGCGTTATGGAAACATTGTGAAAATCCATAGACAAAATACCGGATACAAATTAAGTGGCTCAGTAAGTACCAACTTGACGGGCTGCAAATTGGTAGAAATCTAAAATAACTGCTAATTAGAGTAACTGTTACTTCAAAATATAATTATTGCAGCGGATATACCTAGCAAATAGTCTTTAATGAGATGGATTACAATTAAGTTTGGCATATTACTTACTAATCAATGCTGATTCCGACGTAGTTGTGTCACGACCGAGTATACTGAATTATGAGAAGTTATTTAATTTTTATCAAAAACTCAACCGGTTGAGTAACGTTATTAACAAAATAACAGTTATTAACGTCACGCGCGACGATAAACGCAGTTATTGTAAATATGTGTTATTATGTGAAAACAGATACCGGATTTTAGGGCTCCGAGCTGCGACACAGGTTTTTGTACGTGTTGTGATTTTTACGATTATGGCTGGATTATTTATTTTATCTAGTTTTGTAGTTTGCTGAGTACAACAAATTCACGGTGATACTCGATTCTTTTACATTTGTTTCTTTAAACCTTGTATGAGATCCCTGGCAGTAATATATATATCACATCTTACGCAACTTTGTCTCCAGTCATGTCAATAAAAGTGAGTCTATTGTCATACACTGTCATTTCAAACACAGTGATACTGCTGAGCATGTAGTGACTAGCCATATAGCATATTTTTACCCAATGACTTCTCTCGCCTTAGGTGAGGTGAGAGGGAGTGTCAGACTGTTACTGACTGAAATCCACCCCGTTCCTAACTCCTGCTTTGAGCCGAAGCCATGGTAGCCAGTTAGGTTGTCCACAGATCGGGCATCAGCCTTAGTGACTAGTGACTGGTGTCTGAAACCGCGAAAGTATGTGTCTCAGTAAGGAAATGCGCAATAAACCACAGCTGCATACAGTCGTACAGCTGACCTGCCTCACGCCGACCCGCTCTCATATATGAATATTACCACTCATAGCGTTTTCCAGTATTACAATACTTATCTAGGTTTTATTGTTATGTATAGCTGCTTCATTTAGGTTAAAGTTAAGATTTGAGCACAAATAAAAGTTCTAATTGGGATGATGACAGGGTATGAAAATTAAAAATCTAATTAGTCCGTAAGTTAGTTAATGAAAAATATTAGACTCGTATTTTTTATTTTGTCGTTTAATAAAACAATACTTAGATAAAACGAATCAAAGTTTAGGAGTGGGGGTTAAAACGTCATTTCTGCGTATAAAATGTACATAGAAGTGACGTCACGCGACATTTCAAATCAATATATCGTCGAAATTATTCTTTTCTGTAAGAAAATAAAAATACGTGTCTAAAGTTTTAAAGTAATCTTCCAGACGGACATTAAAATAAAAATTAGGCATCTACCCTATTGTATCATTTCTTTTTTAAGTAATAGATTATCATTTGCAACACATGTTTTATTAAGGCAAGGACACACTGAGGGATAAATTTTGTTTTAAGTTACAAAAAGAATATATCAGAAACATGAATACTTAATATTAAACAGAAGCATACATTCTCTATTCACGAATAAATTGTATTTCTATGTGAATTTGTCACATCATGTCCAGCATGTAATATCATACAAACATACGTATTCGTATGCGCGCCGGCGTCCCTCGCGACTACGTGGGAATGTCCGTCTGTTCGCTGTTAACTACAGAACACGATGACATTATTCCTCTGACCTCCTCGTTTTAAAACAAAGGTTTAGGCCGTTATTTTGTTATGTGGTTGTTGGACCCGGATTCGCAATTGACCCGCGTAACGCTGCCCTACATAATAGTTAAAATACTAGATGTTTGCAGTGCCAACCAACAAGCTGCATCTATTACTATAAAAGATAAAAGAAGTACACAACGCAACCTAATTAACAATAACGTATTCAATCAATTTGAGAAAGCCGAGTTAAACTCATTTAAAGTATGTATGTATTCATTAAAATGTAGAAAATCTCCTCTTTGTGTTGTTGCATTTTGTTCTGTATCTTTTGTCTTTTCCTAGTTACATTTTAATTATTGTCATGTATATGGTGGCAGATAACTTATTGTGTACACAAAATCAGTTCTTAATGGATATATTTATTCCGTTGCATATGATACAGTTTCTATTTACCATGTATTAAATACATTTCTCACAATTTTCACTCCCTCAAACTGTTTACTCCAAATAGTACCATCATGGTAGTCTCATGCGTAATTGAGTGAGTTAACCCGTCAGTGTAACAGTTACACTTGTCTCACAGATAACTGGGAACAATAGCCCATGAAATTATGCGTTAAACGCTGACTTAACGCGTCACATCGCGTTTGCGTTAACGGGAAAATTACCGTGAACATATATTAACATGGAGAGACTAGACTCGGTATTGTATTAACAGGATCAACTGTTAATGATTTAATTATGTTGGTAATTTGTATGGTGAGACTCCAAAATATAACATAGACTTCCTGATACCTGATAAAGTCGCCAGTTCTGTTACTAGTCCTATCATTATTGTCATGAATATTATACGACGAAGTCCGAGATCGACGAGAAATTAAAAAGTATTTATTTAAGAAAAAAAGTTAACCAAGGATTATCATACCGTACACCGTTATATGAAGTGTACAAACTGTTCATAGATGCATTTTAATAGTTCTTCAAACAATACCAAAATTAATGAAGTACAAAACACAACTAACTATACAATCCTGTGAAATTAATCATGAAGGTAGCGCGGTCCCTCTCATTAGCATATAATATGAAGCAGACGGAATAAATAAATAATAATAAATAAATAAAATGTTTATTTCGTGTAAAAAGCCAGGTTACAAAATAAATCTTAATATCTAAACAAAGTCTAAAAATATTTGAAACCTGAACTAGGTCCAAGCCTGTGTTTCAGGTTAAAAATGTACTGAAATATTTAAAATACAATAATATTGCTTTAAAACTAAAAATTTTTATGTCTAAATTAAATTAAGCTAGTCTCTAAGTATAACAGGTGCGCGTGTACAGTTTCATAAACAAACGTAAGCAAAAATAATCTAAGTCAACTATAATAAAATTATTTGCTTACTTCAAGTAATTCCTCGGTTTGATCGTATGTTAAGGTGTGTACATAATTATGTAATAGTTTTTTACAGTGAAAGTGATTGAGGCTATAAATGCTTAAATCTCTATTTATTCTATTGTATAAAAATGGGCCAAGAAAGATAAAGAATCTTTTTATAAAAGCGTGTTTTGACACTGAGGTTGAAGTGCAAACTATATCATTCCGCCATTTGTTAGTAAGGTTATTAATATTGAAGCTGAGTAGTGAATGTTGTTTGAGTATTAGCTGTACTACATAGATTTGGCGAACAGTTAAAACTTTGCAGGATCTATATAGCATGGATGTAGGAAAGAGAAAGGGATGGGAAAATGCAACTTTCAGGATGGCTCTCTGAGCACGTTCTAGAGGGAGTATAATAGTTTTTGATGCGCCACCCCAAGAAGTAACACAGTACTGGATAATTGACTGACATAACGCTAGGTAGATTTGAGTGATTAGTTTAACATCTCCGATTTGTCTAATTTTTTTAAAAATGTACATCAATTTCCTGACACGTGCAACCAAAGCGCTGATGTGTTGTTTGAAACAAAGAGTTTCATCAATTGTGATGCCTAGATATCTGATGGAAGTAGTTTTTAATATACAAGGGCAATTGCATGTGCCCAGTGGACTAATTCTACATTTATGTGCGTATAATTGGGGTGTAACAGAGGTAATTGGATTCTTGCGCATAGAAAAGTGAATAAATTTTGTCTTCTCCGCATTTAGTGTTAGTATATTAGAGCAAAGCCAACTATTAACTGAATCGAAAGCCAATTGAGCATTACAGTACAGTTCAGTGTCGTTATTGGATGAAAAAATTAGGGCCGTGTCGTCAGCGTATGATATTAGTCTCCCATGATGCATCTCGATGTTACATAAATCGTTGATATAGATCAAAAATAGGGTAGGACCAAGAATACTCCCCTGAGGCACTCCAAAACCCGTATTTTTCTGGAATGAGCTTGTGACGTCATCTATTCTAACACACTGGTAGCGGTCATCTAGATAATCAGCAAAGAGGTTCAGTTGAGTGCCTCATACAACCTGTCTAATAAATACGTGTCGAAAGTTCCAACCGGCCGCCAGCGCAGGGGTCGTAAATACCCAACGTTTTGTATGCCCGCCCAATTTGTTTTATTTCACACACCAAAACGCATAAATCCTCCTCTATGGTGTGTAAGTGAAAATGAACATTAGTTTATGGGACATAAAGGTTGTTATCATTCGTATGCTTTACATAACTGGTGCGTTTAATAGGTTGATGACGTTTGACCTTCCTCGTGTTGAATGATGGAAAATGTAAAATGATTATCTAAATGTAAATGTTTGTAATTCTCCAATATGAATATTGTATTAGGTACGCCATAACAAGATCGTAACTTCAAGAAACATTAGGTAAATTATATCTCCTGTGCTGAGCCGATTAGTTACTTCCAACCGACAGCGCGGGTCAGTTACAATGTTAATGAAAGTCAAACAAGAAGAACAGAAAGTAAATAAGTATAAAAACTAACAAGCAAGCATGATTCACTGGAGCAAAAAGTAGTTCTCATCCGAGCTACCGGCAGCTTCCTATTTATGATACAATCTAAGCCTAATCTCTTAAGAAAATAAACATTTATATTCACGACACCTATACAAAGTTGTGCAAAAACCGCCATTTTCTATACTTCGTCTATAAAATTATACGAGCCAATCAATCGGCTAGATCTCGGTTCGCGCTCTTTTTATTAATATCACCGGCATCTACTGAGCAATTACTGGCAGCCGAGTGATGTATCGATAGTAGGCGACTCTCGATTGTATCGCTCGCGTAGGTCGTGAGATCTGTGCTCGATAGCGGTCGGTAGGACCGACGCGGCAGTCGCGGGGTTGCTTCAAAGGGTTTGACGGATGACAGTGACAGTTTCGCTCAGCGGCAGGTCGGAGATGAGATGACAAATGACGGTAGTAATTATGATGATTTTGTCATTATTTCATAATGACGCGTAAAATTGCGTCGCTGATTGGCGTTTGCAAATTATTGTTATTTAGATTACGTCAGTAGATTGCAGGAACATTTTCAATTTATATTCGCAACGAGGCTTGTTGTGGACATGGGATATGCAAAGAGTTGTTGTCTAAGAGAAATGGCTTGCCAAGCAGGTCAACCCTCGAGGTTGCGTGGTAGAGGGAGTGTCGCCCTAATAAAGTTTATTTACAGTCGCCGCCTGCCCGCGCGCATATCTAGCGGGAAATTACAAGGCAGGGCTGTCTCCTCTCTCCCGTGCTGGAGAATATAATGCGACACTTTGTCACGAAGTAGTGAACACATAAAAATAGCAGGCCGGCCACGACTCCGCACAATTAGAATAACTTAACACGATGCAACGAGATATCTAAAGGGCTGCAACTATTCGAATGATATTACAATGTCTGTACCATCATTATTTTAAATGTATTCAGTTACATTTACATTGATTTACAAATTAAATCTCCAAGCGGATAAGATTGTTGGTAGTCTTACAAAGATTTTATTAAGAGTTAACCTTTAAAATGTTCAGTAATCGCATTAAGTCGGAAATCATATCAAATTACATTTTATTCCCAGTTTTTGTACAATATTCTGTCTACTTTTATAAAAAAGTGATTTGATATGACTACATGCATACAAATCCATGGCTTCTCACTTCTGAACATATTCACGTGGCAGCCCTGTCGCCAATCTGTGGCGCACGATGTAACTTTCCGCGGAGGTATTTTTACATGAGGACATTGTAGCACTATTACAAGACTAGTTCCATTGCACCCAACGGGAATCAAACACCAGCACTTTACGACTTTACAGTTATGGATCAATTAATTTAATAAAACACGTTAGTTCGCCGATAAAGTCTAAATGACTACAGACTTCCATTAAGATAGACCTTTATAAAATCCCCTCTACTAGTGCCCACAGTAATTCAATGTTATTCGAAAAGTTCTGATCTATGTACACAAGAATTATACGAACTGAAACTAGACTACCGCACTGATAGCAATTAATTATTGTCATAATAGATGATGTTTATCTTAGAGATTAATGATAAGTAGAAGTAATAGATCAATCGAGACTGATGTTGCGGTCACGATGCTGTTATTGTATTAGTGGAATCGAACCAATACTACGTGTTAAACAGCTTGTTGTGTATTTACTTTTGTAACAACTTTGTGTTAGAAGTAAGTTCTTTTTATTGATGTAATGTATTAAATACTTATTGTTCTTTTTTTCTGTTTCCAGGCCCGTATGTCGGAACTGCGTGGTGTCACCGACGGGGTCCTCTCCTCCTCCGCTGCACGAGCAGGCCTCCTCCCCCCCACCTCCAGCGCCGGCGTCACCGCCCACGTCACCGAGGCTACTCCCTTCACTTCCATCACCACAACCCTCGCACAGCGGCTCCTCAGTGCCCAGCCAGTCTAACTCCCCACACCCCTACTCCTACCCGAACTTCAGACGGAGCCAGCCGATCCAGAACCAGAGTTACCCAGAGTTCGGGCTGCTACACAGCCACAGCGTGTCGCAGCTGAACCAGCCTGGGCAGAGTTACCAGTCACCTCAGTCGCCGCAGTCAGCAATGTCGCTGTCTCCCCACCCGGTGCCTCAGGGCAAGTTCCGAGGACTGCTGGAGCACGCGGAGAGGCTGATGAAGCCCGGAGACCCTCACCGGCACTCGCAGAGTGACGATGACTCAGGGTGCGCGCTCGAGGAGTACACATGGGTGCCGCCAGGCCTAAGGCCAGAACAGGTACATTCTAAACTTACTTTGTTGTCGTTTAATTTATTGCTACTAAACTTGTCTTGTTCATTTGTCTCGTAACCACAAAATATCATCTAAAAGGTAGGCTTCTGTCTCCCCTTGTTTACAAAAAAATGAAAACGCACCACAAACAACGCAGTGCGCGGCACTTTGCATTCCCCGCTCAGACGGACAAGTTGTCCAACAAAGTGGCCAGCAGCACCGGCCGCCGCCCGCCGCCCGCCGCCCGCCGCCTGCTGCCTGCTAACCGCAGTCCACAATACCCCCTTTGTCCCCGTGAGCTATTGTTTGGCGACAGTTTGCTCCTTTTTGTCTTTTTTGAAGCTTTTGGTGGCTTTTGTCAATGAAACTGTTTTTAGGAAAATGGACATTTTTAATGCTTCCATTTTTCACATTTTAAAATGGCTGTTCCTTGTATTGTCATTTTACTTTTATCGTCATTGCAGTTAGAATAACAAAAAGTATAAATATTAGCCCTTGAATGTCTTTTAAAATCAAATAAGACGTTTAGCTACGTAAGCACGTCTACAACGCTACATTGTAGCAGTGTCAGTGCTGAGCTGATGTTAATCTCTGCATAATATGTCATTACGTGTGTCAGGTTGGTGCAGTCACGTGTGATGTGTATCATGTCACTGCACCCGCACTTATTATGTCGTTAACGACACAGTCGTTTCCTTTAAAAAAAGGATAATTTAATATAATTTTACTTGACCGTCTTCGTCAAAGTTTATAGAAACTACTCTTCTAAAGTCTTGCAAAACCATATCTATGAATGGGTGGGATTTCACAACATCATTCAAGACACTTTAAAAACCAAAATTCGTCAATTCCCATACAATAAACACGGAATATAAGAATTTAAATGCAAATGATACAGAAAGTAATGTACCGTAACGTTGTATAGCCACTTGGTCCGGGAATAACTTGAGAATACAACTTTGAGCCCCGGAGGGGACCGCCTGCGGTCTCCCAGTAATCACACCGAATGACTTCGGAGACTTCGGTATTTATAATTACAGTAAAAATAAAGCATCCACTGGAAGGCAACGGAGCAAAAAATTAAAATGTCTCTCCGGAGCCTCCCCTCCTATTCTTGAGGAACGTGTTCCAAGTTTGGGGATGACTTGTACTTACGTTTATTGCAGACGTCATCAAGTTGCTGGTGCTTTAAAGGGTTGCTGTACAGTTGAGACTGTGTAGAGCTTATTTTGTGGAGTAAAAACATTTAATTGATTTTGTTTCTTTTTCCTTAAGTAAAACTACTTCAGATAATTTAACTTTACTACCCATTCTCTCCCGCATATTTTCAAATTATATGTAGATAATTTTACTTCATTTTCTGGACTACATCTCTCTCGAGTTCGATTTCCGATTGGCTTTAGTAATTTTCGATATTCAGCCAACTAATGGCCTCAGAAAAAATTGATACTGGATTAATATATGCACTTGTGCCCACGTTGTCGTAACATTATCTTAAGTCATGCGGTTTTTCATTTATCTGTACTAAATACACAATATTACATTACCCCAATAAATACCCTGCTCACGTATAGTTTTCATTATGTTTCCCCACCCTGGCTGTTATTACACGCTATGACGTCATTAGTTTTATGTCCTACAGTTATACAAACTTATAATATAAAGTATAGTATTGTAAATTATGAATTTCTATGATTAATCGTCAGCAGAATTGTGAAATCCATGTTTAATTTTACAAATATTTCCGATCGTTTTGTAAAATACCCAAGTAACTTAAATGAGAATGTAATTACTTGTTAATAATAGGCATTCATCTGAAAACCTTTTTAAGTGAAGTCCTTTGATTTTGACTCGGCGATAAGTTCTTTATTTCCCACACGTATGCATTTCTTTCTAAGAAACCTAACATTCAGATTTCCTTTCCTTTGAAATCAAGTCCTATTTGCTTCATTGAATATTCTGTTTCACAAATAGTCTCGGGGGATTTCAGAACACGTCTTACCTTAGCTTGCATTTCTTTAAAATACTATTTTCTTGACATTATCCAACACAACTTAAAGGATAATGTTAGCAGTCGGTGAATTTCTTGTCAGTGGATAAATGCATTGACGTAATAAAGTAAAGGAAATACCTTTACTCGAATAAAATGTATCTGTATTGTACAATAATGTATGAAATCTAGCTTCATGACAATATTGCAAAGAAATATTTTGACTTTACAAAGACTATAGAAAACAATAAATACGTTACATTATTACAAGACTATATCTATCTATATAACATTCTCCCTTCAGTAAATCAATTAAGTACTGTACATTGTGTTCGTGTGTGTGTGTGTGGGTGATATTTCGCGTTGTAATCTCATAACGCCGCTATCAGTGTCCAACACTGGCCGGACTATATTTCTTCCTCATAATAACTTAATGCTATGAATTAGTGCAAGATATAAATTGTTATGACAGTTTTTCTTTTAGATGTTCTTGTTGGCCTGATTGAGAAGTTCGTGCAATAGTTTGTTGTTTATCGTGAATGGCAATAGTTAAGATTACTCACACAATCATTTATTCTTTACTAAAAGTGTAGATGTAGATATAAACTAAATGAAACATACTATCGTCGGTTAAATTTGAACTACATCAGTGAGCATTTTAATATCGTACAAAATATGTAAGCATTGAAATGAAAAAGTAATTGTTAAATTCATTTTATTATTCTCATTAAGCAACAAAACCTAGTACTTAGTCCATTAACGTAACTTATAGCGATGTTATAACCAGGTCTATCACCCTTTTTCCAGGTGCACCTGTACTTCTCAGCGTTGCCAGAAGACAAGGTCCCGTACGTGAACAGCGTGGGGGAGCGTTACAGACTGAAGCAGCTGTTGCAGCAGCTGCCCCCTCAGGACAACGAGGTAACTACCCCTCCTGCAAACCCCGGCTACAAGGTAACTGCCACCATACTCCGCTGCATGGGGACGGCGACAGCATGATCAAGGGCTCTGGTACTGTCTCCTACTGTATTGGCTTACACATAATGTTCATCACTGCTAAATTTCTCCGTGAGCACGCCTGCCGATTTTGCAATCATTTTATGAAAGGTTTTGATGATCTCAACGTAGTAAGGTGACTAAATCTGCATGATATAGATTTTTCAAGAAACCTACCAATGCCCGTTGTGTATTATGCCTCTTTCTTTTTTTTATAGAAAAAAAAGGTTTTCTTTATAGAAAACCTCCATTATTTAACGTGGAGGGACACGTTTTGAGATATTACTTAATTATTTAAGTTATTGAAGAACCCTTATTTACCACTTACAACAACCAAATACAACATAACATCACGCCTTTTATCCCCGAAGGGTTAGGCAGACGTGCACATTATGCCACTGTACAATGTAACACCCACTTTTCAGTATTTATGTTATGAATCCCATGTAATACGAAGTGAGTCCAAAATCCAAATACAAACCGTTTCGAAATTGAGCCCTATGTAACAGTAATGTATGTCTTCACGCAGTATATCTTCACGTTCCAGGTGCGGTACTGCCACGCGCTGTCTGACGAGGAGCGCAAGGAACTGAGGCTGTTCAGCGCACAGAGGAAGCGGGAGGCGCTGGGCAGAGGACAGGCCAGGCAGCTGCATGCACCAGCACCCTGCGATCGGGTACGTACATAGCATATTATGTTGATTTTTGTTATTTTTAGGAATTCTACAAAATATTTTTAGTAATGGTGACCGATTGGAGCAATTACGACGGCAACTGTGTATCATTACAGATGACGAACAAGAATTTAGAATAAAATAAATGAAATAAAAAAATAACAATCGTTTATTAGCGCTTCATAGAATTAGCCCTGGCTCCTGTACTAGGTATCCCTGTACCACAAGAGCCAGGTCTCTCAATAAACGTGAAGATATTCCCAATTATGTAACGAATCTACAAATAAAGGCTTACCTGCCTGCATATAGGTACCTACATTAAAGAGCTGTCAAGGATTGCGTATAACAAAATTAGAGGCTTAATTTTAATGAACTAAACATCAACAGTTACTTCATTAACAGTTCTGACAAAAGCTGTATAAGTAATAACAAACGACAATACTGAAACAATACGATAACATGTACAAACTCCATCGCTACTCACCTGCCTGTACAATTTAATTCACCACAATAACTTGCACAATATGAATACCAAATATTCTATTAGCACCTCACTCAAGACGGTGTTCATTCAATTACGTGAGTACGTGTTGATTAGCTGGCTGCTTGGCACCCAGCACACGTGCCACATTTATAACTTCATCTCCCACCATCTACCATCCACCATCCCACCGCCCTGGGTGACTCATTAGTGATGCGGTCCACGCGGCGGGACGGGATACTTTCATTTAATACTCGCTGATTGGTTACTATATCATGTTTGGGATAATTCTATTGGATATTATATTGGTTGGACCTGTACGTGGTGTTTTAGTCAGAACTGGATGTTTCAGTTCATGGAACTTGACATACCTCGAATAATAAAAATTAAAAGTTATAAAATGTTTATTTCATCAACTATTATTTACATAAAAACGATTATGACACCAACCTTTTTAGCTTGTGGTAAGCGGTGCTTCCTTGCTTCTTCTTTGAATATTTATTAGTATGCTGTCATCATTTTTGAACCCTAAACTCTAAAGGCTTCTTTTACCTGTATTTTATTAACTAAAAGTTCTCCGTCCGATGTTTAGCCATCACCCATGCATGCATACAATATTAATACAACTCTTTTATACACATCTGTAACAAAAGATTTCTACCCAATCTGGTTCTATAGACAAAAAAACTTTACGTATTTCTCAATGTCCTACTGAACATTTATAAGCAGCATTTACTTATATAAACAGAAGAAAATTCTAAGACATCTTTCTAGTAGACATTTAATAAATCCACGTTAAGACTATGGTTAAGGTAAATGAATATCATCCAGCAGGCTGCTTCATCCCAGCAGACGATTCATTATCCCCGGCGATTAACAGCCGCGTATCGTAAGCTCCACAATTTATTCTACCAACCGGGTATTATGTATTAACGTCAGAGGACTTTTATCTCTATACTCCAGTGCTAAGGGCGTCACGACGAATTTTTTTTTGCGAAAACTCTGCTGTGTATATTTAATTTATAATATATATTAATGACTTTATCTTGGCCAAGTGGTCGCAAGTGCGACTGCCGGGCAAGGGGTCTCGGATTCAATTCCCAGATCGGTCAAAGTATTACTGGGTTTTTTAAACCAATTCTCAGTAGTAGCAATTCTCAGCCTGGAATTGTGCCCGGTATATGGCAATAGACTCACCCCCGTACTATATGTAACTCATAATATAATAGTGAAAAGTGGGCGTTACATTATACAATGACAGTAAATGCCGTAATGTGCACCCCTGCCTATACCTTCGGGGATAAAAGCCGTGATGTTTAGATGATGTTAAGCAGAACTGCACTGTATATCCCTGTACACCGTATACTGTAATAAAAAGGTAAAAATAAAAAGTGTTTATTGTAACAAAAACATTTGACACGCAGTTTATGAATACTAACATCTAAACTAGGCCGCCCTTAGATGTTAGGTAAACTGTACTCTGCAATAATTATATTATGAACTACTATAAGAGGGAATGAGCCTATTGATTTACTTTATTTACGTCCTTTTTAAACAAATTTTTGACTATAAGCTAATGGAAACTAGCCTTGAAAGAGGATGTCTTGATAAGATGTTCTAAAGAAGAATCCAAGTTTAATCAAAACTATTGCGTTACATTCACAGATAAGTACCTACTCAAACTAATTTTCTTTACGTCATTCCCATAGACTGGGCATAGTGTCTTTTCTGACGACAGCCACAGATTATAACAAAGCACAGATTATAAACTCCATATTACGAATTAACATTCTCTCAGCCTCTATCCGCTGCACCCTCTTACCACAACATTTTAATCCGACTGCCCATAAATCATAGACTCCCTTACAATTGATACTCTTTTTTCCCTTTGCCCTCTGCCCTCCGTCCTCCCCAAGCCAGTCAGTTGGTTGGCAATATATTGCGCTAACATAATGTTTTTGTTAAACAACAACTGGTGCCTCTGAAATATGTTTCAGGAAAAGTAAACTGGAAATCGAATTGAAAGGGTTTTAAATTGATAGTGTTGTTGTAAATGCACAATGGGTTTTTATTTATTTTGTTTTATGTGAGAAAAGAGTTGTCGGGAAGTAAAATAGATGAACAGTTTTTTTTTTTCTTGCTCACAGATGGTCTACACATTGCATACATGATATGTATTGTACTCACAATTAGATCTGTTTTCAGTTTTCTACGCCTTTGCATTATGTTTTTTACAAAATATTAGTATAGCCAGCCAGTCAATTAAAAACAATTCATTCAAGATGTGATAATAAAATATTCTTAATGAGAAATATCCGAATTCATATTTCCTGCGAGTGTTTAAAAAAGTAATGTGAGGAGTTTTCCTTAGGGAGGTATATTTAATTACTCTACCCTAATTGCGAGATACCGTAGCGTCTCAAAAATGTGCAGTTATCTTCTAAAAATTTGTGAAATTAAGTACAGTTTTAATTTAACGCACCCTTAAATTAAGAGGTGCAATTAAACTGTGCAGTAACAATTACCGGTGGGCGATGTCCCGGGTTCGAATCCCAGACGGTTCAGATTCTTAATCGCTCAACTTTTAAATTGCCAGACGGTAACGTTTTACTTGTTTTAATTTTAAAAGTCGTTAAGTATGATTGTGAGTGCGATATTACTTCGGAGCGAAAAAATATTCATAAGTTCACGCTGAATTAGAATTTTAATGAAATATTTTTGTTACTGTTTATTATGAATCTTAATTAAGAAAAACTTTTATTTAATAAATTTAAAGTGACATCTAAGAGGCGAGATAGTGTTCAAACGTCGCCCCGTCAAATATAAAAAAAAGAACGTTTTGTCGAGAGGTAATTAGCCGAGTGGTTGCAAGTGCGACTGCCGGGCAAGGTGTCTTGGGTTCGATTCCCAGATTGGGCAAAGTATGGAATTGTGCCCGGTATATGGGCATTAGGCTCACCCCCTATTACATAGGACTCATAACATACAATAGTAAAAAGTGGGTGTTACATTGTACAGTGGCATTAAGTGCCGTATTGTGCACCTTTACCTACCCCTACGGGGATAAAATGCGTGATGTTATGTGTGACATTTTGACAGAAAAAATTAAGCTGACAACGTTGTACACAATTTTGTACATAGACTCTTATATATACTATCGTGTTTAAAGACAGTAAATAAGAGTCAACATATGTACCTCTATGTATATCAATTGAACCAACTTAACTATAAGAGCCTACAACAATGTCTCAAGTTAACTGCTGCACTAAAATTCAATAGTCGTGGGCGTGCCTCGTTTGGGAATCAAACTCCAGACTGAGACATGTCTGGCTCATTTAAATCTCAAGCAGGCCACTGAAATAGTGATGGGGTGTAGTCGATGGTGACCTAATGGAATTTATGTCACAATAACCCTATTGTATGTACTTTCCTAATTTTTTTGTCCGTCTGGTACATTAATTTAAAACTTTAGACACGTATTTTACCTTTTCTCACAAAATTAAATACTTTCGAATACGTGTGACGTCATAGTGTGGGAAGTCAAAATGTAGCATTTTGACCTCCCACTCCTAAACTTAGCGCCATTTTATCTAAGTATTTGTAAAGATCACATTGTTTAAAGCATTCTGCCAAACTCTCTACACCTGCAATCTGTGGGTCAGCTACACGCAGCGGGCCATCAACGCTCTCCGTGTACAATATAATAACGCGTTCAGGGTGCTGGTGGGGCTCCCGCGCTGCTGTAGTGCGTCTGCGATGTTTGCGCACGCGCACACTGACGGCTTTCACGCGGTGCTACGGCGCCGCATCGCCTCGCTGATGTTCCGTACGCGTGGGAGCGCCAACACCATCTTGAGCGAGCTCAGCCAAAAACTGGATAGCCCCCTTATGAGGCACTGGGTTCAAACTCAAGTGTGCGTGACCGGTGCCTCAAACGGAGGCAAATACTTAAGTTAATTCTATTGTTAAAAAAAAAAATTAAATAATTTGGCCTTTTTTCATTTCTTCTTTATATTTGTTGATGTAATGATATTTTTTACCTAAATTGACATTAATTAAATTGACAATATACTAATTTGAATGATTGATAATGCGGTGTTATAATGTAATAAATTAAATTAATTAAGAATATATATATTGAATAATAATAATCTAATCGTAAATGTATGGACCCAATATGTCTGAAATAAATTTATTTTATTTTATTTTATTTTTATTTTATTTATTTATTGCAACTTAATACGAGAAAATAAAAAATACGTATCTAACATTTTTTCATTATTTAACTGACAGACTAATTCGATTTTTAATTTTGATACCCTGAAAACTACCCAATTATGAACATAATAATTATGTAATGCCATTTTAAAATGTTCTTAAACTTTTGACTGTAATTGCTATATTTAATGTGCTTTTTCTACATGTCAGAGTGCCACCTAATTAAAGATTATTTTTGACTTTACGCTAGGCAGTTCCATTCATGTAATTTTTACTGAGAAATATACCTTTTTGTCACTTTTGCCCTAATTGAGAATGTAATATGAAATATGTTGCATTACTGCAGTTACATAGCAAACAATACAGTCAAAAGGTAAAAGATCCATTGCATCTTAATACTTAATTTACTCTATACAAAAGTCTTTAAGAGAAACATCGACA